AATTTTACATCACCTATAAAGCATTTTAGAATAATATGCAATTCGCATTCAACTTTGACCAATTATTACAAGTATCTCAAGCCTAAAAATAAGGTTTTTGGGCTTTCTTTTTAGAGAGTTGACTAGCATAGTAGTAAATTCATCCGGTTTTTTAATCATATAGACATCTCTGTTTTCCACTTCTGGTCTTCCATTAACTATTAAAGTTTTCATATGCCCTAATAATTACATACATTACTATTTTTAATAATTTTTATGGCCCATTATCTCCACTTTGCTCTTCTTCTTGTTCATTTCTTGGCACCTTGCTTGATGGGATTGATAAGTATATTCATTCGAGGTCTAAAATAGCAATAATATGCAATGCACATTCAACTTTGACATGTTATTACAAGTATCTCAAGCCTAGATATAAGGTTTTTGGGCCTCCTTCTTGGAGAGTGACACTTCCTCGTCTAATGAGAACTTACCTCAATCTTCAAGCGTCTTAGGTTATTCTATGGGTACACTAGGAGGCATATAAGGGTGTCCATATGTCCAACGGGCCCCCTATTGCTCCAATAGTGGGCTATCGGGTGTCAAAATGGACACCCTTATATCCAATATTATGTACCCATAGAATAATTCATCTTCAAGACGTCAAGGTCAATTATACTTTTTTTCCAAACCCACCCCCACCACTCACAATAGGAGAACAGCCACTGGATGAGCAGCGGGCACCGAGGAAATTGTTGGAAATAACCGGATAATCCATCCCTATTTTCAAAGTGACCTTTGACCGGCTTTTTAATTTAAAAAAAAAATCGAATTTAAAGTTTAAAATCCCAAAATACCCCTCGGCTTCTCACAAAACCGAATCTCACAAAACTGAAAAAACAAGGTCGGTTTCCAGTCGGTCGGAGAACTTGCTAGTCCATCGCCAACGAACTACTTCTTGTTAAGGTAACCATTATTTGGTTGGATTAATGTTTAGATTTTGGTTAAATGTGTGAATGATTAATTTGTTGGAAAATTTTTCAATATATTTTTGTTTATATAAGTAAAATAGGGTATATATAGTGTAAAAAATGGTAATTTTTGAATTTGGAAACTTTTCTCGTCGAAAATGGTGATTTTTCGACGAGAAAGGTTGAAGAAGGCCGGCTGTTTGTGCAGTCGGCATTTTTGGCTTGCACCCGACTGTTAACAGTCGGGTTCACTGCTAACCCAACTATTAACGGTCGGCCCAAACCAACCGTGGTTTAGGCCAATTGTCGGCCCACTTTTTTTTTTTTTTTTGCCCTATTTTTTTTCACATATAATTTAATAATTTAATTTTAAATAATTTTTATTATTTGGTTTTAATAAATAATAAATTATTTAGTTTTTCGAATTTAAATAAAATTGTTACGACTAAATTTAAATAAAAATTTTACATTTAATATTTGTTTTAATATTTATTTTTATTTTATCATTTTTGGTAAATAATAATTTGAAATAATTGTTGGAAATTTTTTAATTGTATTTTGAAATAATTGTTGGAAATTTAATTTGAAATTTAATATTTGTTTTTATTTTTATTATTAGTTTTTGATAAATAATATTATTTTTGTTCATTGAACTTAAATATTTTTTGAACTTGAATTGATTAAAAAAATTGTAATAATTGGGAAAACTTGACATTATTGATAATAGGATAAAAAAAATTCACATTATTGATGATTTTAATTATTATGCATCTGCGTCTTGCGTATTGTAGTTACAATTTCGTTCGCTAAATTTTCTGTTATTACTATTATCACTTATACAATGTTCTAACATTTTGAATTTTTACAGGATGGATTATCATCTTGACGCAGAGTTGAGACAGATGCCAAGCAAAGTTACGTGGAATAGTAGCTTTGATAGTTTCACAGCTGTGTTAGAGCTGCTTGATGATCAGCATGCTGATATGCTGCGTCAGTCCTTCCTATGGCCCTTGTACCCGTTGAGAGATTTGCAGTACTCGGGTCAGATTATTGATGTACTTCTATGTCGATTGCTGAGTCTAGTCAACAGCGATGCCCTCCACTTCGCAATCGGGGGTAAGATCGCTAGTTTTTCGATGTTTGAATTTGCTTTGATCACGGGATTAAAGATTACGAGAGATGAAGCTGCTGGTGATGGGATTCAGAGAAGAAATAGGCTTTATGACGCTTACTTCGAGGGACAGGGTACTGTGCTTCTTACACAGCTGTTGGACGCAATCAGGATGTGTGATCAGATGTTAGAAAGATTGAAGTTAGGTCTGGTCTACATCCTTGAGAGCGTGGTGTGGTGTCACCATAAGAAGACTACGATCGACCTCTTACATCTGGAGATCATTGACGACATCGATCGTTTCAACGACTATCTGTGGGGCCGAAGATGTTTTGAGGACACTGTACACGTCTTCACCATGTCGCACTCGAAGCCGAAGGGAGCCATGCGTAAGTACGACACCTATGGATTGTCCTTGACGGTGTAGGTAAATGGTTAACATAATGAATGTTAAAATTATTTTCATATTGAATTTATATATAATAATTGTATGTGTTGCAGATCTGGGCATATGAGGCCGTCCCTATATTGGGTGCCCGTTTTGCGAAGCGATGGGAAACATGCTACCCTCGGATGCACCATTGGAGAATATCTCGATCGGAGGGATATCCCACTGGAAAACAGTTATCGGCTATCATCGACGACACTCGGGTGAGTATGTAATTTATATTTTGCGTGATTTAACATCTGATTGCATGATTGTTAACTAGTTCAAATGTTAATATGTCAGCTTGAAGTCATAACTGAGTTAACGCTGTCCATGGAGGAGGAGGCTCAGGGTCTTGTGCGTGAATTAGGTGTTTCGCACACCCAAGACGACCAGATGTCCGATCCGATCCACGACCGAGATTGGGCGAACGAATTGAATAAAATCTATTGATTATCATTTTGTATGAGTTAGCAATTACGGATTAAGTTAATAATTTGTAATGTTGTTGCTTGTGTAGGAGCGTGATCCAGTTGATCGACAATCATCTCCGTTGAGGGCATCGTCGGAGATGTCGTTGAGGGCATCTCCTCTGCCGTCGAGGGCATCTCCTTCGCCTCCCCCGTCCAGAGACCTTTCGTGTGGATCTCCCGCACGTAGTCAGGGGCACTATTTTGATGATCTGCACGCCCGTCAGAGCAAATTTATAGCGAGGTCGGTCGACGGGCTGCGTCGAGAGATGATAGAGAAGGTTGATGATCTGGGACGACAGTTGGTAGGAAGGGTTGAAAGTTTATCGAATGAGATAGTAGCACTTCGAGGTAATATAGCCGGTAGGCGATGGGTTGACGGAGACGGTGATCGAGGGGGCGATCGAGAGGGTGACAGGGATGGGGTGATAGAGATAGGGGTCTCCGACAGTCATATATACATGATGATGATGCATGGGAATCGTTTATTTTATCCGTGGAGCGCAATGGGACGGGAGCAGTGGCAGAGGAGGAGGCCCATCGAGGAGGGAGATAGTGGCAGATGAGGGAGTGGCTCCATTGGGGACGGGGACGGAGACGGTGGCAGATTTGGGAGTGGCCCTGTCGGGGAAGGAGACGATGGTAGATGAGGGAGTGGCCCCGTCGGGGACGGGGACAGAGACGGTGGCAGATGAGGGGATGGAGGAGGTGGCGAGCCTTGGGGTGGAGGAGGTGGCAGTGTATAAGGCAAAAAACGTGTTGTGGACATGCTGGAGACGGTGGTTGGCAAGAGGCTGAGAGTGCCGTCATAGTACGTCGTCTCTCCCTTCACGACTGAGGCGAAGAGGAAGAGGTTCGTGGATGGGACGTACCCCAATATGTTCCGGGAGCTCGACCATGCCAATTGGAAAGCATTCGAGGCTAAGTGGCGAAAAATGTTGCACGGGTAAGTATTGTATGATTTAGTAGACTACGAGAACTCGTATATGTCTCGTTTAATGTTTTTTTCTATTTTATTTCTAGAGTCACGCACATGATAGCCGGGAGGACGATATTGGACGCATACAAGTGGTTCTATGATATCACCACTTAGAGGTTTGGCTCGTCGACGATGTAAGTGAAGTGTTATTGTTACTTTTTGTATACATTATGTTTAATTTGGTAAATGAAATAAGTATTTATGTCTTTGTTTTCGTTGATGTAGCACATCGACATGGCCATGGACTTGTTGCGCGATCGAGTTGAGAGATATCCACAATCATTCCACAAGCCTGGCCGCATAATACTGAACACAGAGTTCTTCCGTGCCGTTACCATTGAGTATTAGTCCCTCCAGCTTCTAGGTAATGAGTACGTGCTTCCCGTGTATATGCTCGAGTGGGTCATCGGGCTGTCACCGAGTGTTGGGGGAAAGCCATGGGAGGGTTGTACGCATTTGTACATTCCAGTTATCGCGAATCAGCACTGCATTGCACTGGAGATCGTGTTCCCTGATTTGACGATATATATATATGACCTCAATCATTCATGTCTGACATAGGAAGAGCTTGAGCAAATCTTAGAGCCGATGAATGTGATCGTTCCTATGATGGCTAGATATGTGGGCTTGACTGTGGATGACAAACTAGCCATCGTGCAGGACATGATGACGGTGAGAAAGTCTATATCGTAAGTCTTTGTAATATTTTTTTTTTATTTAGTAATCAGTTCGTACGTAATTGGAACCGAACTAACACATATTTGTTCATTTGCAGGGGCAACTGTGGGATTTTCGCAATCAAATACATAGAATTTTTTAGTATAGCACATAAGGTTGATAGAATCAACCAGTCATAGGTACAGAATTAGCGAAATAAGTTAGCATGTGATTTATACGAATTTAATTGTAATCCATAAATTATTTGTAAATATTTTTTGTAATTAATATTTGTAATTATTTTTTGTGATTATTTGTAACTATTTTTCGTAATTGTTTGTAATTATTCATGTAAATACTATTTATTTCAATGTAAATACTATTCATTTCAATGGAAATACACAATGCTCTAGCTGTCATTTAGGGGAACTTGATTTGTACAAAATTGGCGAGTATGTCCTACTGATTTGCACCTGCTACACCTACACGGTCGGGAAAACTCTTCAGTAGATGGTATTCTAAATATACTTGGACGTCCAGGACCACGTGGTTCTATGAGAGGTGGTGACAATATATTGAACGGGCAAATATGATCAGGAACTTCCCACTCGAATTCGTTTGGAAGCGAAAATATAGTTTCAACATACACAGCTCTCCAATTTTCAGCAGTGTAATAAGGAGAACACAATATTCTCGCTGCAAATCCTCGATACATAGCCACTGTAACTGCATGCTCACATGGAAAACTCTCTAATTGAAATTGTTTACAAGTTCATGTTCCATCACTTAAATCTACCATATATACCATGTGACGTGCACATTCCACAGAGAAGCGCGACTCGTCTAGTGGATCGACATTTAACTTTCTCCCAGCTTTGAAGAGCTTTACCTCTTGTGCTAGGGCTAGCACGCTTGTGCAATTATATGATTGCACACGTCGATCGTGAAACCACTGCTGCAACTTCGTACAGATATTATCAATCAGTGCGAGAATGATTAACTCTCGATCCCTCTTAAATAATGCATTGAGAGACTCTACGTTGTTTGACGTTATCATGTTGTATCGACGTCCTAAAAAATATGAGCACGCCCAATGTTCAATCCCCATTTTCTTTAGATAGTCCCATACCGGGAATGATTTGCTTCCTATTTCAACCATGTACATATTACACTCTTCAATACTGTAAGCTTCGGTCACTCTCCTAAACAATGAAACAATGTCTTTGCCCCGATACCTGGGCTTCAAGTTGCCTTGTATATGGTACATACAATACCCATGATGTGTATCAGGAAACACTTCAGCAATACCATTTATTATGGACTGTCCCCGATCGGTGACAAATGCAAGATCCTCGACTTTTCCGATTACTTCCCTGAGCTTTATGAAAAACCAACGCATCGACAAATCATTCTCGCTATCAACTATGTCGAATGCAATAGGGTAAATTTGATTGTTGGCATCTTGACATGTAGCAATAATCAACTTGCCTTGGTATTTGGATTTCAGAGTTGTACCATCGACTAGAATTAGGGGTCGCATAGCATTTCGAAATCCCCGAATGCATTGTCCAAGAGCCATAAAGAAGAATTTGAAGCAGTTATCAGCCTTCGTCTCAATAAAAAATGCCGAGTCAGGATTAGTTTTCTCCATGTTATAGCAATACCTGGCCAATTTAGCATAGCTTTCCTTTATCGAGCCATTAAATCCTCCAATGCGCATTCTTTGGACTTCCAGGCCTTCTGGTAGCTCATGACTACTCCGTACTCTCGACGACCATCATCAATGATGTCCGATGGTCTATAGATTGTCCGTGAATCCTGATACTTGTGCATTATCTATCGACCAATAAACCAAGTTTGGGATTGCCTGTGATCATTGCGACAAACTACCACTTCACAAATATGTTCTCGTGTACATTTGCGAATTACGAAGCACTCATTCGTGTCCATCTTCGTTGCTGGCAAACACCAACTGCAACTATCATTTATGCATGATAGCGTCAACAACGACATATTCGATTTTTTCACTTTAAACTCGAAGTTGTATTTCAGTGCAATTAGGTGCACGGCTTCTTACAAATCTTTCTTCATTTCAAACAGTTGCTCGACATACAAATACTCATTATCAGGAACCACACGTGAGGAGTTAGAGGACGGTCCACTCGATCTAGCCCCCGAGGTGCCACCCTACTCATGTCTCTACCGGGATAAAGCAATGAAGTCTTCGTTTGTAAAAGTATTTGCATTTTCATTCTCGTTATCACGAGCAACGGAGGGGATTCCGTGTGCAACTATCTCTGAAATAACTACATCATCTTTACGAGCTATCTCCACTGTATCCCAAAAATCATTAACATTGTGATCCCCACCTCCCGAGTCTACTTGTTCATCTTCGACGACATCCTTCCTGACTAAAATCACTCAAAGAGGAGTCGTGTGCTTATTGTTCAATTCAATCAGATAATTCACTTCATCAACAGAAGAAATCATTATAGGTGGAATCGGAATTGATGCATGCTCGCTGAACTTAAATTTCAATTCCATGTTGTACTGAAAAGGATCAACATTCAACTTGTTATGTAAATCATTATAGAGTTCTGCATACGATGTACCTGATGATATGAAAATTGCGATACCACAACGTTTAACACTTGTCCATATCCATACCCATTGATCTATTTCATCCAATTCGAAATCATCAAAGTAACAAACTGGGACTACAACCATATCTGTATGCCGAAACAGAATTTTTAATTACAAGAAAAATAACCCAAAAAGGGGGGGGGGGAGAAAACAGTTGACAAACAGCCGGCTGTTAAACAGTCGGTCAAATAGTCAGCAAAACAGTCAGCTGTTTGGTCGACTGTTTAACAGTCGGAACGGCCGATTGTTTGACCAGCTGTGTCAAACAGTCGATTCATCGACGCCGACATTTGTGCAGATGAATTTTTTCTGGTCAAATACTTAAAAAATTACAGATCCATTAAATTTTTTTATATACTAATGATTAAATGTCGAAATACAATTTATCGATTTAAACATACAATAATTTAACAAAAACAAGATTAAATTTGCATATATAAACTTACCGAACCAACGAGATTGATGTCCACAAATTTTTTGACTTCCGATTTCAATAAATTTTTTAGTTTCTGCAATTGAAACAGATGAAGGATGAGAGTGTTTCATTTATCTGTGTTGGAGTAAACAGATAAGAAATGTAGGAAGTATTTGATTTTTATTTGTTAAGTGAAAGAGTATTCATATCTTTTAAAAAAAATCAAATTTTGTAATTGTATAATGTATTTAAGAGTATTTTTATCTTTTAACATTGGATAGATCATTTTCAGAATATTCCTTTGTTGAGAAGTCAATATGGAATCTAGATGATTTGACCAGGTCACTTTTAAAAGTACCCCAGCGGGCACCTCACCAACTTTCCACCATCCTTTTGTGAGAACCAAATAGTTCCGAGAATCCTAAACATTTTATCCGCTATTTGGTTCTTTTAAACGGATGGTAGAAAGGCTAATGAGGTGCCTACAGTCGGTGATGGTTCTACTATGGTGGCTGATGGGGTGCGTTTGGAGAAAAATACATCTTTTTTTAATTAATTCTTCTAAGGCGGTAGCGGTTTTGCCGTCGACGTTATTGCATCTGTGAAGATGATTTTTGGTCACAGGTGAGTGAACGAGTTGGTTGGGCAAAATGAAATATTTATTTTTTTCTGAATTCTGTTTTTTTTTTTTTTTTTTTTTTTTTTTTTTTTTTTTTTTTTTTTTTTTTTTTTTGTATATGTATTAATATGTATTTACTATTTTAAGTGGGATTTATTTTTTCTTTTGGAAAAAGTTATGGGACCCCTTTTGCAATTTTCCCTTATTTTTGTTGTTTTATTGCTTTTTTATTTTTATTTAATTAAAGAAGATGACAGATTCGTCATTTAATGGACAAAATGGAAGGTGTGACGAATGTTTTACCATGCCTCCGTTCGTTTCCAATTTTTTTGTCTAATTTAAATTTATTTTTGGACCGTTAAAAATGTAGTAGCCGTGATTTTTTACTTTCTATCTCACAATGTGACCCATGTGCTGGAAAAAAAACAGTCAAAAAAATGAATTATTGTCTTCAAATAATTGAAAACAGATGGGGGCTATATAAATGAAAGGTTGGGGATGCATCATGTTAAAAAAATGTTTACGGTATATTTTTTAACATTTCGTAATGATCGGAAACAAAAGTACAAATTCCCCTAGAAGTATAACGCGGATCACATTTTCAAATTACGAAAATATCCATATCAAGGATCACATGGGTAAGAAGAATAGAAGATTGCTTATTTTTGCATGTTCGGGTTTTTCAGCCTTGTTACTTGGTCCCAAATCAAATTGAAATAGAAATAAGTACGAGTCAAGAAAAAGGAAGAAAACGAGCTACGAAAACTGGCTCAACATTCCTTGGAGACTACGAAAGAGGAGTTTCTAACGTGACAGAACAATGGCGTTTATTACGGTGAAGATTTATAATTGAACCATTGCTAGAGAAGGCAGTCTCAAGTTTAGAATAACAAGGCTAACTCACGAAAGAAAGCCTTGCAACTACGCTATATATTGATATTGCAACTGCGCTAATAAGGGCACATCAGCTTTCTCTGTGTGTGGAGGGATGAATCGAAAAAGAAATCTTTATTGGTTCTACCTCCTATTTTTTATGAAGAGAATGAATCAGAGTTGAAGAAGAAATATTTTCCAGTTATGTTTTTGAGTTCTAAAACTTTTCCTTTTCCTGCTCTTCTCCTACATTCCCTACACCAAGAATTTCCTACTGTTGTTTTGTAACTTTTCGAGAAAATGGGATGGTTTATTGCAATGCAAAATCAGATTGATTGAGTCATTGAACTTAACAGTTTACTTTAGGAAGAACACAGAAAATTTGAGAAGTTCATGCTCAATCTTAAGAAACGAAGATGTGCTACCAACAGGTATCACACACTAATATGAATTAATATCTCGGAAGATTGCAATTGAATTGAGAGCGTTCGGCTACAAAGACATGTATCTTTTGCTC